GATGGGCAGAAATAAACAGTTCATGGGGGGCATTCATTAAGAGATAATTATTATCATTATGTAAACTGCCATATGCTTTTTGTTAAAGTATAATTGAAAATTAAAAGCATCTAAGAGCAATTGTTTAGAAATACGCCTTCCTCAAGAACGGTAGCATTAAGAAATCAAAGCAGTGATTTCTTAAAGGTATTATGTGCATACTTGAAGAAAAATCCTGAACATTTACACTTCCATCTCCAAGAGAAAGCATATCTGTGCTAAGAAAGAAGGCGCCCTGTGCCACATTGGCTAAAAACCTCAGCTATTAATAAAAAGGTCAGGGGTCCTATTCCAAGGGAGACAGATGTGCTACCATAAGGATTACAGCCTTGGGAACCTTAGCGGGTGGTTCCACCCTTCCCTATAGTGTCACCATGAAGTGATTGGAAATGGGTTTGTGCTAAAGCAGTTGCAGTTGAGGAATTTTGTTTCCAAGTATTTAAATAGGCACAACTTTGACAAAATAAAGGGAGGGGCTGGGGTGGGAATGCTATAATGTGTTAAATGCTATTGAGTCAGTTCTCACTCATAAGGACACTGTATACAGCAAACACCAGACTGCCTGGTCCTGCACTCGCCTCACAACCATGGCCATGCTTCAGTCTGTTGTTACAGCCACCAGGTCAATCCATCTCCTTAAGGGTCGTCTTCTATCACTGACCTCTACTGTCCCAAGCATGATGTCCGTCTCCAGGGACTAGTCTCTCCTCATAACAAGACAAGAGATAAAGTCTGTCTTACAGCTTCTAAGGAGCATTCTAGCTGTACTTCTACAGATTTTTCATTCTTTTTTTTTTTTCACTGTTTTATTCAGATTTTTCATTCTTTTGGAATTCAATGGTATATTTAATATTCGTTGTCAGCACCATAATTGCTAGACATATTTTTTTTCCTCAGTCTTTCTTATTCATTGATCAACTTTCACATGTATATGAGGTGATTGGGACAGGCACACCCTAGTCCTCAAAGTGACATTTAAAAGTGTTTTTAAACACTTCAAGGATATCTTTTGCAGTTGATTTTCAGACTACAATAGACTGTGACTATTGTTTCCATGGGAATTTACTTTGGAAACATGAAATCCTTTTCATTTTCATCTTTTCTCCATTTATCATGATGTTGCTTAACGGTCCTGTTTTGAGGACTTTGTTTTCTTAATGTTGAGATTAATGCATAATGAGGTCATAGTCTTTGATCTTCATCAGTAAATGCTTCACACCCTCCTCATCCCCCCCCCCAGCAAATAAGGTTGTCATCTGCGTACCACAGCTTGTTAACGTGTCTTCTTCCAATCCTGATGTTGTGTTCTTCTTCGTATTGTCCAGCCTCTCAGATTATTGAGTGAATATGGTGAAAGGATACAACCTGTTGCTTCTGTTTCCAGATCTTCTATCACATATTTATCCACTTGTTCTGTTTCAACCATTGCCTCTTGGTCTATGTACATGTTCTACATGATTCTCATTCTTCACAAAGTTATCCATAATGTGCTGTGATCCACCTATTTGAATGCCTTCTCCTAGTCAATGAAAAACTTGTTAATACAGTTATGGTATTCTCTGTTTTCAGTAAAGATCCATCCACCTGACAGCTTTCATTCCAAACACTTTTCTGAATCTGACTTGAACTTCTGGTAGTTCCTTGTCTAGGTACTGCTTTTCAATTGTCTTTTGCATAATTGTATTTTCATGTAATAATGATCATATTATTTAGTAAATTCAGCTTTCTTTTGAGTACACATTGGGACCTCTCCACTCAGACTTCCACATTTCTAGGCCTTGACTAGTGAGTGTTTCCAGCACTGGCCCTCTGTGTTGAAGCATCTCAATTGGCATGCCACCAATTCCCGGACCCTTGCTTTCACATGTGTCTTCAGTGCAGCTTGAACTTTCTCCTGAAGTACTACCAATTCCTGACCAGATGCCACCTCATGAAGTGGTTGAACACCAACCAACTCTTTCCGAACAGTGGCTTTATGTATTCCTCCTATCTTCGGTTAATACTTGCTGTATAATCCAATATCTGACACATAGAACACATCAATCTTTAAATTTGGGGCTTAATTTTTGTCTTCAGTTCTTTTAGCCTGAGTGATTCCAACTTTTTTCATTCCTGGATCTTTAACTGCTTGTCTTTGCACATTTTGTGACAATTTTTTACTGTAATAATATATTATCATAAATATTAATAACAATACTTCAATATCAACAAATAATGTATTAATATATCATTACTGTAATGCTTTACTATGGGAAATATTTCATTATAATATTTTCAGTGTTCTTGAACT